GCATTGACATCCTCCAGGCATTAGGTATTCCTTCATTCTTAAGGCTAATCAACTTTTTTTTGGTTCAATTGCTTCAATTGAATCCTTGATTTTGATTAAGAAGGTGTATTGTGGGCTTCCCAAAACTCCATACTGCCTTTGAGGAATCCTAGCATATCATGCTTCATGATTGTTACAACCATTTTGGGATGAATGATAAGCTTCATATTGAATCCTAATGATAAACACATAAATGTTCATTGGGTTGAATTGCCTTGGTTGGTCAACTATCTCCAAAATTTAAGCATTTCACCATCTTGCTTAATTTCATGTATTCTAGTTCTTCAAGTCTTTTAGTTTTCAAAAAATCCACCCCCCTTAGTTTAATTGTAGTTAGTTAGTTTCATTACACTAGTTCTATTGTATTACATTGATTATGGAATAAAACCATTTCCTCGAGGATCGAAACCTCCTTTAACCATTATATTACGTTTTATTTGCAAACAAATGGTGTAATTTGCTCGGTGGGCTTAACATCCCACCAGTAGTGATGGCGGAGGTGATAGTTCCGGTGGTTGGGATGGTAGCGGGTGAAAAAGGAATAGGAGGTGTTGAATAATCATTTATAATTAGAACTCTCTGTCACTATATCGATACGTCAGAGCACTAGAGCTGAAAATAATCATATATATATATATATATATATATATATATATATATATATATATATATATATTCTATAAATGTAACATAATGGCCACTAATGTTTTTACACACCACTCTCATCTTTTTTATCTTTTTATATAAATTTATAAGAAATTTTTTGATGGATTTGTTTGGCTTGTCCTTCGATGATGATGATATATTCATCACTATGATGTACAAGTATTACACTAATGAACTCTAGAAGAAAATGAAGTCCCTCTACCAACAAGAACGACTAGGCAAAATAGAAACCACGAGAAAGCATACAGACGTTTATATTGTGATAATTTTACAGATAATAGTTTATATATGTCAAAAGATTCCAAACGAAGGTTTGATTTGAGTTGGAATGTGTGTGTATAGATAACCAATGCTTTGAAAAACAGGTATCGTTTCTTTTGTACTTATACAAATTAATTATATCTTTATACAGTATCATATGTATACATATTAAATATATATTTAGGTATCCTTTTTGCAATTGTGATATGATGTTAGCAATATGTTGCAACAATTTGTTTGATGGCTTACATGGTGTCACACGGTTACGTTTACGATTACCTGAGAATTTTTGAAAGAACTGCAAGAGAAAATTTGTTTTGATTGTCAGTACGTGTCATTGAAAAGTTTTGTGATGTTTATTTGAAGAAACATTCATTATATATTACACAACAAGTTTATATTGCACATGAAGAGAGACATTTATCTCCCGATATGCTTGGAAGCATTATTGGTACACATTGTAATTGGAGAAGTTGTCCCCTGATCAGTGGTCTATATGGAATACCTTCATTGCTATTATGGGTTATTGTTTTCCCATGATTTATGCATTTGGCATACTTTTTTCGGGGTTTCGTGTTCCAAAAATGACATCGACGTTCTTGATCAGTCTCCAATATTCAATGATATTTTATCAAGAAAGGCACTAGATTCTACTTTCACAATGAATGGAAAACAAATATAAGTTTGGATATCACCTTACATATGAGATATATCGTATGTATTCCACATGTGTAAAGGCATTCTGACACCCAGTGGAACGAAGAGAAAAAAATCTTAATGAGAAAACAGGAAGCAACATATAAGGATGTGGAATGTGTGTTTGGCGTTCTAAAGGGGAAGTGAGACATAGTAGCACATGAGACACATCGATATGAGATAGAAACGTAGCAATACAATATATATTTATGTATCATAATGCATGACATGGTATTGAAAGATAAAATACATATTATTGCACAATATATGCCGACGGAGCCCCGACACATACAACTTGTACCAGGTTCGATGAAATATTTACATAGAGTCATTGATATTCAAGATGCACAAAAACACGAGTTACTTCAACAAGACTTGTCGAATCATATCTACGATGCTAACAATGATGACGAGTAGTATAACATTTTTTATTGTAGTTTTTTTTTGTCTTGTAATATCTTTTTTATTTTAAATGTGATGTTTTTATTTAAGTGATATGTTTATATAATTTATTTTTTTAATTATCAAAAACCAAACCAAACTAAACCATGCTCACCGCTAGTGTGTGGTCATGTGATGGCCATTTATTAGCTAAAATGATATGATATGGAAGATAATATATCATATGATATGGCACAAATATGATATAAAGGGGGTAACCAATAGCTACATGCCTTAAATCTACATTTATTATCATTTATCTATTAAATTCATGTAATTTATTTTTATATTTTTTATATATGTTATGTATTTTGTTTTGAACCACTATATGTATTAAAATAAAATAGTTATGTTTTGTATTTTATATTAGTTGTTGATGACCATTTAACAGCGTGTGTTCATTTGATGACCATTTAACAGCACCGTTTTGAAAAAGTTTTTTTTATTTTAGTATGTCAATGTTAAATCCAAACGTATTAAGGCTATAAGGATCGACATTGGTTGAGTCAGCTCGACAAACACAACGATCAAATGGCTGAGTTTAGCATGTTGAGCTCGAAAACCCAAGTCGGTAACGCCATGTAAACGAGAGAGAGAGAGAGAGAGAGAGAGAGAGAGAGATTCTCCTTTTCCTCTTTTTCTTCTTTTATTTTCATGTTGAACTTGAGGTGGTATTCATCGTCATTCTCCTTATAATAGTGTTAGGTAGATGCAGATGGTCTTAAAGACCTTTAGAACATTTTAAAAGAATAAGGAAAATGACTCTTGAGGGTAACTAACTGTTGCGTTTGATGGTATATTGAGTACAGAATGCAATATATTTGATAAATTTACTCAAAATCTTGTTTAAAAAAAGGACAAGAGAAAAATCAATCATCGATCCAACTTAATTTTCAAATCATTTTTTATTTTGGATAGTAACATTGTCCTCTTTCTGGCGGAGTATGCATGTTGATTTAGTTACTTTTTTAGCTTTTAAGTACACAAACCGTCAACAAAACATATTATTTTAAACTGTTTGAATATGCAAATAGTTCTTTTAGTTAAAACAAGAGCGTTTGAAAAATCTGCACGAGCATATCCATTATTTTATATTTATATATAACATATTAGTTATTGGGGAAAATGACTTGATAGGGTAAGTTATTTTTTAAAATGTACACATTTAGTCCTTGTTTTTTTGTAAATTAAACTCTTATACTTTATTAATATGTACACATTAGGTCCTTTTGACCATATTCATTAGGTTTTGCTGATGTGGAAGCACACGTGGCACTAAAAACATTTGCATAACAGTCAATTAGCTTAGTCACTCCTTATAAACAAATGCTAACATCCAAAATCAGGAGGAATCACGGTTTTGTTGTAGAGGAAGAAAGAAGATGTCGAGTGGCTCACGAATCTTCACATGTTCAAGCAATCACAGAGTAGATAAGGAAGTCCTCTGTGATTGTAAACACCCTACAAGAATTGGTACCTCCAAGACCAAAGATAACCCTGGAAAGAAATTCTGAGTGTGCCCTAACACATTGGTAAATACCTAAATTGATTTTATTTGTCAAATCGCATCAATTTTCTTCTTCTTACCTTCTATGTTGTTGATTTTATTACTACAAAAACTAGGGAAAAAGTGTAAAGTTTGGCAATGGATTGATAAAGAACCCGAGAATATGAAACCCATTGCAAAAGATACTCTTTCAGATGTGGCAGATTATCTTATACAATTTTTAGAGAATGTGGCATACGTTATAAAAGAAGTGAAACAATTGAAGGTTATGGTTATCTACTGATTATGGTGGTCATTGTTAAGGTTATATTTTGGGGTTGAAGATATGCTTCTGAAGGTTTTAGGGGATTTTAATGTAATAGACTTGTTGTGTAATTTTTATTTATGTAATGGATGTTGATGTACTTTATGTTTATGTAATAGTAAAGTTTATTGCTACTATGTATGGATGTTGATGTAATTAAGTAAGTCAAATGGAGGTAAAACCAAGACAAATTACAGGAAATAATCTTTTATAGACAATTGGATGTAAAGACAAATAAAAGTGGCTGACAAAAGGCATCAATCCATTTAATAATTACAAAAGACAAGCCCACTAGTAAAGTAAACAACTAGCAGGGGTAATATAGTAATTAAGTTCAAAAGATTAACCCACACTATATCAAAATATATATATATCACATGCATTATCCCACTACACTAAAATAGTATGAATTCCTTCAACATGTGGCCACTCAGAATCATCATTGAGTTGGTGGATGTTATATGCATACCTACTAAGGAAAGAGGCTTTAGTATAGGAGTTTGATACAAAAGCCTCCACATCTAGGTTTAATGATGAAATTGATGATATGGCATGTACACATGGAATGCATGTGAGTTGCCAACTTCTGCATCCACATGACCTCTAATTAAGATCAACAACATACCACTCATTTTGTGAGAAAACTTTAAATTCTTTATAGCCACTCACATAAGGTACCTAAGATTTTTCAATATACAAGAAGACAGTTAGTTACCATTATAAACCAATATAGAACTAATCTGAAAAGTGTGTTCATGTTTCATCCAAGAAGCACCTGTACTCTGTTATAAAAGACTTAATCTGAAAATTGTGTTCCTCTTTCATCCACGAAGCATACAATCTAAAAGGGCATGTTGGATCCTTTCCTTAACAACACCTAATTAGCAACCTACTCTTGTCATTCTTTTCATACCAAAGATCATAATCATTTGCTATAGCATAGCAACTAAGAGAGTAGTTAAGTTCAGCAATAGTAGACTATTTCATACCTAATAAAGGCTTCATATCATTCCATTCCTGAGTATGATCATGTCTTGGGTAGATAAGTCATATTGCATTATAATCTTCTTCAACCAAGTCATCATTCTATATTGGACAAAGTTTGTTGAGGAATTGATCATTGAAGTTTCTTTTGAGAGATATAACTTCATCATCCTCTACATGTTCAGATTTCAGACCATCATCTAAAATGGAGTCAACATCATCAACAGAAACCAAATCATTATCTTCAAGATCTGCTTCTTCCTCTTGAATCCAACCAAATAAAGGTTCATGATGATGATCCACATACACATCCAATCTCTTCTTTTCATTGATATCTTCAAGAAACTCGTTAAAATCACAATCATTCTGAATAGCATGTAATCCTTCAAATAACCTCACTTCATGTGGACAGTAATACACATCTCTACATCTTCCGTTAGTAAGCTTTTCAAGAAAGGGGATAAAATCAGGGAAGTTCATCTTGTTCACAACCGTGTATGGTACAGAGTCTTTTACTCCATCAAAATACATCAATAGGGTAGGTGTGAACATCCCATTACAGTTTACATCAATGATTGTATCTACATCTTCTGCCATTGTTGATGGTGATTGTGAGTTAAGAAGTTTGAGACATTATCGGCTGAGTGAATGGAGGAATGGCTGATTAAATGAGCCCTAATTGTCGTCAAAATGTGGTGTAATTTAACAATACCCACGTAATGTGACATGTGGAATCCACCTGGTTATTTCATTTCAAGAAAATAAAAGAAAATCTGTATATGACCGGTATACCGGGTAGAGTTGGTCAAAAGGATTGTATAATTACAAAAAATCTGGTATAAGGGTTTAATTTACAAAAAAATAAAAAAAAATAAAAAAAATAAGGACTAAACGTGTACATTTCAAAGATTATATTACCCTATCAAGTCATTTTCCCTAGTTTTTATGAAGTTTGTAAAAAAATACAAATCAATCAAACCTGATTTGTATTAACTCGTACCATTTTACTATCCATATGGATCTAAATAAGATGCATATCTCCTTCTAGGAAAATAGCTTTTGGTCATTTTTATTGTAAAAATGGATGACTCGTCATGCGGTTTTTTTTTTCTAATTCCTGGTTGTTAGGTTGTATGATTTATCAAGTTTTAATTGGAAACATAGTCTAGTATCAAATGGTTAAATGAACCTGTGACAAGTGGTTAAACTAGCAAGTGAGGTCATTATACAAGTTAAATGAGCATGTGAGCTGATGTTAAGTTGAATTATTAATGTTTTTTATTTAGAATTTTAACTAGGTTATTAGCTATGGTTGCGGTTGACAAATTAAAATAATGTAGATAATAAAAATATAGTTATGAATCATAAACTTACAAGTACTTTTTTATATATAGCATTCCAATGAAAACACTTCTTTTTTCTAAGATTCCTAAATATAAAATGTTCTATTTATTAACTATTCCAACTACATAATCCTTGCAAAGAGAAAACCATTCATGTTTTCAAAAAAACAAGACTTCATCAACTTAACAAAAAATCTAACGAATCTTGCAAAAATGGCTCTGATACCAATTGTTGGGACTTTACTCAAAAATTGTTACAAAAAACATAAATGATGCAACAGGAGGCTTACGATTTGAACAAAAATAAAACTAGTTTTATTCCCACCAATGTTCATTTTGCAACAGTTAGAAATATTAAAACAACCATAGTAGAGAAATCATAACAACCTTTGAAGACTTTGATTCTCATGGGAGGTTGTAAGTTGATGAAGATGACATTAAGCTCTAAATTAAGAGCTCTCTAGAAATATCTACCAAGCAAGAGTAGAACCATCAAAACATGCTAGTATACACTTGTATTAGACGTTCATAAGCCTTAGAAATATATACAAAATATATGTTCTAAGGTGAAGCAACTAAAGGACTTTTCTAAGATCAAAATGCAAGAGAATGGAGTTCAAGAGAGGAGATTTAACATCAAAATTTGGAAGCCCCATATAGAGCGAATTGCTCTTGGTTTTGAGCTCCAAAAATAACCAAAAAGATGCTCCCAATGAAGTGGTAACAAAGCTTTATTATCTCTCTCATGTCTCCTTAACCCATAAAGACAAAATGTGAGAGGAGACATAAAGTAAAAAACAAGGACAAGCTTCTTACAAGCATGGTAGAAACTAATAAACAATTCAAAAGAGAGCCATGATTGGTCTCTTTCATAAATACTGAAATTATGAGATCAAACAAAGACAAAAGGTGTGTCCCATACTTTTAGATTATGGCTAGTTATATATATATATATATATATATATATATATATATATATATATATATAATCTTTATATAAAAGGCAATCCTTTATATAAAGTAATTCTAATGTGTGTATGCATATATATATATATATATATATATATATATATATATATATATATATAACTAGTCATATTATAAATATCTTATTTTATAAAAAACTACCTTTTATATAAATAAACTCTAACTAATTTATTAAGATACAAATATAACTTATAAATAATCATGATTTATAATATATTTCATAAGTTATTATTTCTCCAACAAATATTATTTCCATAAATAATAAATTCCTAATTAGTAAATATTATTTCCATGGAATAATAATTTTCCAGTTAAATACAAGTGTTGATATATTTATTAATAATCAAAATATACTAATCAATAATCAATTGACGTTAACTTGCTATAAGGTGTGACCTTATATGATTATATGTTATTAGCAATACCATTCTATAAGGACTCTTGGTGTATTCTAAAACCAAGGAATGACATGAAGAGCACCTACAAGAGGTATTGGATACTCTAAGGAGGGAGAGGCTTTATGCCAAGTTCTCCAAGTAAGAGTTCTAGTTGTGTGAGGTGCAGTTCTTGGGCCACATCATCAACCAGAAAGGTATATTAGTTGATCTAGCCAAGATCGAGGCAGTAATGCAATGGGAGGTTCCAAGATCAACATTTGAGATTTAGAGTTTTCTTGGTCTAGCAGGTTATAATCGGAGGTTCATTCAGGATTTCTCCAAGATTGTTTTTCCTTGAAACAATTGACGAAGAAGAATGTTACTTTTCACTGGGGGCATGAGCATAAGGCATCATTCGAGACTTGAGGTAGAGATTATGCGAGGCCCCAATTATGACCCTTCTTGAGCGCATGAATGACTTTGTGGTTTATTGTGATGCGTTGTAATGCCTGTGTTTCTGGGCTTGTCATTAATATCAATGTAGTAGTCTACGTTAACCTTTGTAACCCATTTTCAAATAATAAGAATGTATTGTTTGAGTATTATATGTTTTGTGCATAGTTGTGTGACTTAAATGAATTAAGAATAAAAAAATAAGCGTCAAAATAAAATAGTAGATAAAGCCGATATCTTTGGATAATGTTGTAGTAGTTGAAACGAGGTTTCCGAATATATAAAGAATGCCGAAATCCGAGTCATAACGAAGAAGTTATGATTTGTCGAAGTTTCGCAACAGAAACGGCATGACGCTGAATGACGTCAAATATGAATTTAAGATAGAATGATATCTATCCTTAGTAATCTATACGAAAGTTGAAGATTTCGTTATACCAAGAGCGTGCATAAAAAGAACGCCCAAATATGACTTCGTATGAGGAAGTTATGATTTTCTGAAGTTTCGACTTAGCAGTATGCAGCCCGAATACTCGATTTGAGATCTAGCAATTTTTAACCGAAACAATCTAAACAAGAATCGAAGATCTCGCTAAGAGTAGTGAAACGATAAAAAGATAGGCAAAAACGGACGTCGGATGAAGAATTTATGAATTTATAATGGAGTTTTCCTCTCCCGGCCTACTAAAAATAATATATAAGTAATATATTTTTATATATTAAAAATAAATTCAAAATTAGCCAACAGAGTCTAAACAAGAGTTGTATATCATAATCTCACCTACGCATCGATGTAAAGAACGCCGAAAACAGAGTTCATATGCGAAAGTTATGAATTTCTGAAGTTCGGGGCGCGAACCCCAAAGTTGTGTCAGAGACCACGACATGGCAACAGTGGCTATGATGTGGCAGGACTTCTGATGCATTCTGAAGCCTGACAGAGCAAGTGGACGATGATGCATGCAGTGACGACCAAGCCCACGACATGGAAAAAGGTGCAACGACTTGGGAAGGACAAAATTTGCCCTATAAATAGATTTGAAGGGCCAGCCGAGTTTGGTTGCTCATTCTCTCATCTTTCACCTATATTGCATCGATTTACGTGAAAAGTACCCTCGAAACCCCAGTATCATCTCGAGACCCGAAGCGAGTCTCGAAGCCCCGAAGATCCTGAGAAGTGCAATTCCCGAGCCGAAGCTCTGTCCGCGAGAAGCTCGGTTTTTGTGAAGATCTTTCAGATCTACCGAAGAATACTAATTCTACAAGTCGTAGTGCTGTCCGATCATCTTTTGATCAAGTGAGTGTGTAGTTACCTTCTTCTAACGCATAATTATGAAGTATTTTATACGAAATACGTGTTATGTATATATTTTATTGTTATATTCGTGAATGTATATTCACTTTCTTCTATCTCATAGATTTGATTTATTCTCTATGAAATACGTGTTATGTGTGTGTGCCTCATTTGTTATGTGGAATATTTATTGATTGAACATGCTATACAGGTTTTAAACTATGTATAAAACTATATATTTTTATCTACTAATATGTTGGGTAGAACATGGGTAGATAGTTGATGTGTGATAAATAGATGAGAGGCCTCGATGTTGTTGATGTTGACCTAGTCATCTAGCAGAGTGTGCATGACGACCACGGACTCTTTCTAGACAGTCTTGTGGAACACTAGCAGGTTCATAACTTGTAGGTGTTGTGAACGATGTGTTCTCCGGTGTACTCTATCCTCCTCATGGTTACCTTTAGGACATCTATTGTTGAGGAAACCCCTTGTAGTAGTGTCCGTCCTGATGAAAATCCTAGATTAGGGCCCTTGTAATAGATGTTGTTTTAGGGACGTAAAGTGAGGATACCGGAAATGGGTAATCGGGATATTGTTGGTTGGTGAAATTAAATATAATTATTTATTGTAGGTAGAAAACCCTATATGCTCACCAGGCTCGCAAGCCTGACCCACTCAGTTTATTTGTATTATAGGTAGTGGCGCGAGGGCATAAGATGGATGAATCATTAAGTTGTTTTGCTTACAAGTCTGCATATGTATATATTTGTTGAATGACTTGTAAAGTTATCGTTTATGCTTTATGATATGTATCGGAACATGACATCCTGAGTTTTGATTATATAATGAAAATGCATCTCCTGATGAAATGCTTTGATAAATATTATTTTATCATATTTTGTTTTGGGGAACAAATTCCGCAACTCTTTTAAATCAAAAAGATTTACTCTGAAATTATTTTAAAAAGCATAAATGAAATCGGTCTTTTCTGGCCGAGATTTTGGGGATGTCACATGCATCGATTTTGGAATTGGTTGCAATGCTTAGGCAAAGGGGTCATGTGATTGCCTATGCATCAAGGTAGTTGAAGCCTCACGAAGAAAATTACCCTACTCATGACCTGAGCTAAAGGCTGTGGTT